TTCTTCCCCTGCTCCTCTGCTGCCATTTACTTTTCAGACTCTTCATATAGCTTCCTGATGCATTCTGCACAAGGTTTATAGTTAGATTCATTGGGAGAGACAAGGTAAAGTATGCTTACACCATCTTGCACAGAACCAGAACCCTCAGATTGTTATTTTTAGGAGGTGAATGTGTGAAACTCAGTCTAACTTGGTCTTAAGTTTCAGGGGGAAACATCAGAGAATATGTTTTCCAATATATATTCACATATCTTCCTCATTTCACTGGGTACATATTTGCTACAGTAATTTTGGTAATAAAGGTCATTCTGTTGAAAATGATTTATGTAAAAATAAGAACATGACATAATTTGTAAAATTTCTACAGTCCAGGGATTTTTAAAAATTCTTGGCCTTGTTGGTATTTGTATCCTTCTGTTTCTCTTCATGCTGTGATGGAGAAAATACTACAGAAATTACAAGGTTCACAATTCCTCTGAGGAGGTGGGTAGGGTTGTTATGCTGGTTTATATCATAGCTTTATCTTTTCACATACTTGCTCCTAGGACCTGGAATATAGTTAGTATTCTGTAAAAGTTTGTCAAATGGGTAAATGATGGTTAATTCTTGACCTAATGTATAGTTCTGTTTTGCCTTTCAAATATGCTTATAACTTCTCCACAAGTTACATTCTACATTGTGGGTTAAGTATGCTGTTGGGTATATGTTGGAGAATCTCTTTCCTTTAGTGGGTACAGGAATGACCACTATATCATTTAATGACTTGGTTTTGGTACATATAACAGCAAGAACAACAACAGTAAAAACAAGTAACAGTGATTTGGTTAGGATGTAGCTTATTTTTCTTTCACACATGAAGGAAATCAGAGGTAGACCGTCTGGGCCTGTTTGGTGGGTCACAGAGTCATCAGGAACATTGCTGCACTTCCATCTTCCAGAACACTTCATGGTCCTGACTGACTATGGGTCTTAGATAGCATTTGCACATTCCAAGCTGGTTGCTGGAAGAAATGGGAGAAACACAAGAAGGGCCACCTTCCAGTGGAGTCCGCTAGCTCCCTTTAAGGAGCCTTCCCTACATCCCACACATCCCTTCCACTCACATTCATTGTTCAGAACTCATTCACAGGGCCTCTTTTATAGGGGAGTCTGGAATTTTAGTCGTTTATCTGATACATTACCACCCAAACAATACAGGGACCTCTTACTGCGGAAGAAGGGGAGAATAGATGTTACGGTAAACAGCAGTGTCTGCCTGTACCCAGAGCTGCCAGAAACATAAGGATAGAGATTTAAGAAATGTAAATAAGAAGTATGGTTATATAGGTATATATTCTTGAGATTGAGATAAACGGTTCTTAATAGTTCTTAGTATTTTTAATAGCCTTACAGATTCACTGTATAACAGCAAAAATATGAAGAAGTGAAAAGTTTGTCTCCCTTTCACTTTTGTGCCCCAGCTAGCTTGTTCCCCTTTCTAAACAGTAACTGTGGTTTCTAGCACTCAATATGTTTCCATTATACACTGGAAATATTGTAAGACTTCTATTTATTTATTTACTTATTTGACAGTGAGCAAGGGAGGGGCAGGGGGGGAGCGGTGGACAGAGTATCTAAGGTGCTGTACTGACAGCACAGAGCCAAATGCGGGGCTTAAACTCACCAACTCTGTGAGATCATGACCTGAGCTGAAGTCTGACGCTTAACTGACTGAGTCACTCAGTAACCCTTGGTTTATATATTTTTAAGGTTAATTTTCTTGTTAAATGTTACTGCTGTAGGGCATGGCTCAGATCTGCCCTTGGTGTGGCAGCTAGGAGGTGGTGTTACAAAGACAAGTGTTGCAGTTGAGAGTATCTTTGTGAATCATGCAGGGACGAGGAAGACAGATTGAGAATCTTGAGCCCAGGTTGAACCTTCTGTCATTTGCCTCGTGCTCAGCAACTGCTTCTGAAGCCCTGTTTTGTCTTTCTTTAGTGAGCTAGCCTCGGGATGGAGATCCCTCAATGTGGTGAATAACAAACATCATGGGTGAGCGCTGCTGACACACTTGCAGTGTTTTCATGAAATGGCATCACTAGTCAGGCAAAGAACCAGGTCTTCCCATTACTTTACCTGCCTATCCGGGATTTGCCTGCTCTGGTTCCTGCCTGTCTTCCCCCGGGTCACCTTGCATCATTCTTCCCTTAGTTGACGTTTCCTTCCTTGTACTTTCTCCAAGAAGCCAAGCTGTTCTGCGCTGGGGTTTGTGCCCCTGCTGTTTCCTGCACAGTCACCCTGAGTCTTTCACCTGGTCAGCTTCTACTCTTCCGTTTCTCCTTCAGATCTCATTTTATTTTACTTTATTTTATTTTATTTTTAATGTTTTTATTTATTTTGAGAGACAAAGTACAGATGGGGGAGAGGCAGAGAGAGAGGAAGAATCCCAAGCAGGATCTGCACTGTCAGATCTCACGAGCTATGAGATCATGACCTGAGCTGAAACCAAGAGTCAGATGCTTAACCTACTGAGCCACCCAGGTACTTCCAGTTCTCATTTTAGTATCACTGCTTAGTGAGCTCTTTCCTTTCAAGCCCCTAAGTTAAGTTAGATAGTAAATTTTCCCTTTTCTTTCCCTGTACTTACCACAGTGTTATTTTATAATTATTTGTGTAGCTCTTCATGTAATATCCTGTTAAGCTCTCTAGATTGTTAGCTTCATGAGACTCTGGACCATATTTGACATAACACTGTTTCATTGGCTCTGTGCCTGCAAGCATTATAAGCATTCACTCAACAAATATTTGGTGAAAAATCTTTGGTGAGTGTGACGATTACTTTTATGTGTCATTTTAGCTAGGCCCCTGGATGTCCCGACATTTGGTCAAATATTATTCTGGGTGTGTGTGTGAGGGTGTTTCTGGATGAGATTAACACTTGAATTGGTAGACTGAGTAAAGCAGACTTCCCTACCTAATGTGGTTGGGCCTCATCCAGTCAGCTGCGAGTCGGAATAGTACAAAAAGGCTGACCTGACCCTCTTGTGACAAAGAGGGAACCCCTCTTGCTTGAATACCTTCAAGCTAGGACATTGATTTTTTCCCCTACCTTTGGATTTGAACTAAAACACTGGCTCTTCCTGGATCTTAAGCCTGCTGGCCTTTGGACTGTAACTATACTGTCAGCTCTCCTGATTTCTCAGTCTTTTGGGCTTGGGCTAGAACTACACCATTGGCTCTCCTGGGTCTCCAACTTGCCAACTTCAGATCTGGGGACTTGTCAGCCTTCATAATTGCATGAACCAATTCGTTATAATAAATTTCTTCATATATGTGATGTTTATACACACACCCTTTCATTCTGTTTCTCTGGAGACCCTTGAGCAATTCTGTGAACTTCACAAGCTTCCATAAAGTAACTAAGAGGAGACCAAACATTTTTGAAAATCTCAACTGTGGATCTGAAGTAAGAAAGCCATCTTGTGGTGTTTCTGGGAATATCATGTTGATATGTGAGATACATCGCTTAGACACTGAAGCATAGTTCTCTGCAACAGTTCCTATCTTTTTTTTAGGTTTTTTAAAAATTCCAGTTAGCAGACATACAGTGTAATATTACTTTCAGGTGTACAATATAGTGATTCAACACTTTTATATAACAGTGTTCATCACAGCAAGTGCCCTCCTTGATCCCCATCACCTACTTCACGCATCCCCCACCTACCTCCCCTCTGGTAACCATGTGTTTGTTCTCTAGAGTTAAGAGTCTGTTTTTTGGTTTGCCTCTTTCTCTCTCTCTCTCTCTCTCTTTGCTTTTTTGTTTTGTTCCTTAAATTACACACATGAATGAAATCATACAGTATTTTTCTTTCTCTGGCTGACATATTTGGCTTAGCATTTTACTCTCTAGCTCTATCCATGTTGTTGCAAATGGCAAGATTTCATTCTTTTATATGGCTGAGTAATATTCCATTTTAGACACACACACACACACACACACACACACCCCACATCTTCTTTATCCATTTATCAGTCGATGAACACTTGGGCTGTTTCCATAATTTGGCTATTGTAGATAATGCTGCTATAAACATTGGGGTACATATATCCCTTTGAATTAATATTTTTGAATTCTTTGGGTAAATATCTAGAAGTGCAATTGCTGGATTGTTGGGTAGTTCTATTTTTAACTTTGTGAAGAAGCTTCTTACCTGTTTTTCACAGTACCAGTGTCTGTACCAGTTTACATTCCCAGCAATAGTGCACGAGGGTCCCTTTTTCTCCGCATTTTCACAACACCTGTTATTTCTTGTATTGTCGATTTAAGCCATTCTGACAGGTGTCAGGTGAGATCTCGTTGTACTTTGATTTGCATTTCCCTGATCATAAGTGATGGTGAGCATCTTTTCATGTGTCTGTTGGCCATCTGTATGTCTTTGGAAAAATGTCTATTCATATCTTCTGCCCATTTTTTAATTGGATTGAGTTTTTTAAGTTGAATGTTGAGTTTGAGTTTTATAACTCCTGTATATATTTTGGATACTAACCCTTTATCAGTTATGTTATTTGGAAATATCTTCTCCCATTCCATAGGTTGCCTTTTGTTTTTTTGTTTCCTTTGCTGTCTGCAATAGTTCTTAAAATATTTTGTACCAAAGTCCCCTTTGGAAATTTTTATATATAATAGGCTTTGTGTTAGGTAATGTTGCTCAACTGTAGGCCAATGTAAGTGTTCTATAAGCACATTTAAGGTAGGTTAAGCTAAGTTATAATGTTTGGTAGGTTAGATGTATTAAACGCATTTTTGACTTAATGGTATTTTCAATTTATGATGGGTTAGTCAGGGTACAACCCTGTTGTAAAGCTTATTGAGACCCTGATCCATCTTGACATTTTCTTAGGTACTATTCAAATATGAATATCACAGTTCCTGTTCACCAGAAGCACCTAGACCTTGGGCAGGGTAAAACAGTGCTTCAGCAGAAATAATGGAGTGCAAAGTTCCATGATAGAAGTACATGATGTTATGGGAGTACATTGGAGGACATCTCATAATCCAGAGAGGAGGAGGAAAAGCCTTCTTGAAGATCGTCATCATTCAGGATAGGCAAGGGACATTTACAAATTCATGTGTAATTTAATTGGTAATGTGTTGAATTGCCATCTAATTTTTATACTCTGTAGAACCTTTGATTAGCCCAAGGAATTAAGAAATCATGGGGCACCTGGGTGGCTCAGTCAGTTAAGCGTCTGACTTCGGCTCAGGTCATGATCTCACAGTCCATGAGTTCGAGCCCTGCGTCGGGCTCTGGGCTGATGGCTCAGAGCCTGGAGCCTGCTTCTGATTCTGTGTCTCCCTCTCTCTCTGCCCCCACCCCCCATTCATGCTCTGTCTCTCTCTGTCTCAAAAATAAATAAAAACGTTAAAAAAAAATTAAAAAAAAAAAAAAGAAATCAAACAAAGGGGTGCCTGGGTGGCTCAGGTCATGATCTCATGGTTCATGAGATTGAGCCCCATATCGAGTTCTATGCTGACAGCATGGAGTCTGCTTGGGATTTTCTCTCTCTCTCTCTCTCTCTCTCTCTCTCTCTCTCCGCCCCTCCCTTACACATACACTCTCTTTCAAAATAAATTAATAAACATTTAAAAAAAGATAAACCAATCAAAGGCACAATAGATGATTACCTTGCAATCCTGATGTTCCGGTTCACTATATGAATAATCACTACACATACTATCATAGGCATACCTGGAGGATTTTGTCTAGGTCACATATATTACACTTTTTAGAATAGTGTAAATGTGCATGTGATTACTAGGGACTCTACTGGCAATAGGTATTACCCATTTGGTTTGGATTATTCATACACAGTTCAAAGATCTGAGATCTGGCTTTTTTTTCTTTTTTTTTCTGAAATCATTTGTGTTCATTTGTAGTTTCAGTAATTTACTAAGAATTACCAGTCTGGTTACTTACCAGGTACTTTTACTGGTTTGGTGACTTTGTGAAATTTACCTTAAACCTTCCTTGGGGACAACAGCATTCCATCTTGCTGAAAGAATTTTAAAATCTTTTTTTTTTTTTAATGTTTACTTATTTATTTTGAGAGAGAGAGAGAGAGAGAGAATGCGAATGTGTGTGTGTGTGTGTGTGTGTGTGTGTGTGTGTGTGTGTGCATGTGTGGGGAAGGGGCAGAGAGAGGGAGAGAGAAAGAATCCCAAGCAGGCTGTGTGCTGTCAGTGCAGAGCCCTGTGTGGGGCTTGATGACATCAACTGTGAGATCATGACCTGTGCCGAAATCAAGAGTCTGACACTTAACAGACTGAGCCACCCAGGTGCCCCAAGTTTTTAAATCTTACTAATGATTGTAAGAGCTATGTTTGGAAAATATAGTATTGCTACTGATGGTTATTAATTTCTCGGCCTTACAAGGAATCTGTAGGAACTGGGTTTTAAGTGCGAAATACTTAAACTATTTAGTTAAACCTCTCATCCAATATTTTAAAAATCCATTGGCACAAATCAAAGCCACACTGATACTACCTCACACCAGTCAGAGTTGCTAAAAGGAACAAATCAGGAAAGTACAGATGCTGGCGAAGATGTGGAGAAACGGGAACCCTCTTACACTGTTGGTGGGAATGCAAACTGGTGCGGCCGCTCTGGAAAACAGTGTGGAGGTTCCTCAAAAAGTTAAAAATAGAACTTCCCTATGACCCAGTAATAGCACTATTAGAAATTTACCCAAGGGATACAGGAGTGCTGATGCATAGGGGCACTTGTACCCCAATGTTTATAGCAGCACTTCCAATAATAGCCAATTTATGGAAAGAGGAATGGATAAAGAAGATGTGGTTTATATATTCAATGGAATACTACTTGGCAATGAGAAAGAATGAAATCGTGCCATTTGCAGCAATGTGGATGGAACTAGAAGGTATTATGCTGAGTGAAATAAGTCCATCAGAGAAGGACAGATCTCAAATGTTTTCACTCATGTGTGGAACTTGAGAAATTTAACAGAAGACCATGGGAAAAGGAAAGGGGAAAAAAATAGTTTCTAACAGAGAGGGAGGGAGGCAAACCACAAAAGACTCTTAAATACAGAGAACAAACTGATGGTGGATTGGGGGGTGGGGGAGAGGGGAAAAATGGGTGATGGGCATTGAAAAGGGCAATTGTTGGGATGAGCGCTGGGTGTTGTTATGTAAGCAGTGAACCACGGGAATCTACCCCAAAAAACAAGAGCACACTTCACACACTGTATGTTAGCCAATTTGACAATAAATTATATTCATAAAAAAGTAAATGAAAATCCACTGGCTCTCTTAGGTAGAGGTGTTCTTTCTTTTTATTAATTAAGCAAATGTGTCACTTAAACTACAAAATAGTTATACTTGCTTATATCCTAAAATACATAGATGAAATGAATTTTAGGTGTTATGGTTATGGTATTTTGCTGTAAATTTTAGGGTAATGAAACCAAATGTTTTTTTTTAAAGAAGCTGTTGTTAATATATTATTGGTTGTAGCTAATTGATTTTATGCCTCTTAAAGCAGATGATCATGAGAGAATTTAGTTGCACAGATTCAAAATAATCATTTAAAAACTTGCCTTGGAAATGTGTATTCTATCTGGCTGGTGGGTTTTGAAGAAATAAGGTTGTGTACCACCAAAAAAATTCTAGAAGTCATTATCTATGTTTTCAATTAGAATTAAATAGATCAATATCAAAGAGCAGTATTTGGCACTATGGAAGATCTGGGGGAAGAAACCATTCAGTAGAATGTGTCCAGGACAAATTAGTATCACTTCTCTTTCTGTAGTTATAAAATATGCATATAAACTATGTTAATACATCGTTGAAAATATTGACATATAAAGGTACAGCTCACTTTGATCTCTTTATTTCAGAATAATAAATAATAAAAACAAACCTTACAATGAATACATTTTATAATGAATTATACATAAATAGATTACTTAAAGATATTTGTGATTTAGACAGTGTTTTCCTTTTTGCCATTTTGCTTGATTACTTTGAGTCCTTATTCAGGGAAAAAAACAAGGCAAATTACTGAAGCTCAAACATTAAAGATGGTTAGTGCAGAATTCAGAATGTATCTTTTCTGTTTTTATGGTAATTGTTTCTGATAAATTACTTAGGAAAAAGTTTCTTTCTCAGTTACCATGCAAGCACAGTTTTTAATAGAAGTCTCTTGTTATGCCAGGAATTTTGTTTTCATTTCTGCTTGATGGTCTCAGTTTTCTCAAGAAGATATACATAGATCAATTAGTAGAGTCCAGAAGAATAGTTGTCCTGTGTGCTATCCTCAGCAGTGAAACAGCATACCATTCTGCTGTCTAGGGATCTAGTCCAAAAGGTTTTTTAAGGAGTGGTGAAAGTAAAAGAAGGACACAAAATGAGAAAACCAGGGTTGAACCTTGGGTGTATGAGAATGCTATTAGGGAATTAGAATTATAGGTGGTCTGGAAACCTAATATATGTATAGACGTCTAAACTTTTTAACTACATGAAAGACTCAGTAGAAAGCAAATGGAAGTTAGAAGCTGCATGTATACGTGGGATACACTGTCCTTTGTTGGATAGGCCCCACAGCATAACCCTAAGGTAAAAATTCTTTGAAACAGATACTTGTTACATCAGCTTTTAATAAGGAGAATGCATTAAGATAGTGTTTCACTGTATTAAGCTAGCGTTTAATAAGGAGAATGTGTTAAGCTACTGTTTGTAATTTCTACAAAATATATATGAATATGTCTCTGTTAGTACGAAAAAATGAAACTTAGAGCCAGGATTATTAAATGGTTCAGAATTCCACTTAGCATTTGCTGCATACTTTCTGGAAAGCCGCAGGTTGGTAGGAATCACCTTGATGTGTCATTCTTAAAAACTGTGGTTTAAACAAAATCATGCCATATATATTTTTGAATTTTCAGTGATTTTAAGATTTAAGTTTGCTTATGTGTTAACTTTTTTTTTTTTTTAATTCATAAAGATCAGTAATAGAATATGAACCTAATCATAGGACTTTAACCTGGACCAGTTCCCAAATTTTTAAGCCGTAGTTTTTTTGCTTTGTTTTGTTTTTGGTTGTTGTTTTTTCAGAATCAAATTGACACTATTATGCCATAGAATATTTGGTTAACAGCATATGGGGGGTTGTAGTTGCTAAACATGAAAGAATATCAGAAGATAACCAGATGGCATTGCCATTCACATGGCATGCAATATGGGAGACCTGTTAGGTCAGACCGACATTGGAAAATTTATGTAAAAAGACTGGTTAATATACCAATAAATGACTAAGTGCCATTATTAAGTGAACACAGGAGAATATGTTAGTGCTTCTGATAATAAGTCTTATTCTCATAATATTGATAATTTTTATTCTTGGTTTGGAGGCATATTTTCAAGGTGTAATATTCAGAAATTTACTGATTCTTTACATATGTTCATGTATTTTTGAGGCTCAGTTTTACTCTAGCTTTTTTCCCATTTTTAACTTACAAATTTTTCATTTTGAGCAAGAGAAAAATTTATTGAATTTTTCTTTCTTTTTCAATTACATTACTGTACATAATTCTGTTTAGAAAATTTTTTTTTTAATGTTTATTCATTTTTGAGAGAGAGAGAGAGAAAGAGAGAGGGAGAAAGTATGAGCAGGGAAGGGGCTGAGAGGGGATGGAACGCAAATCAAAGAGCAGGCTCAGGCTCTAGGAAAGCTGTCAGCACAGGAAACCTGAGGTGGGGCTCAAAACTCACAGTTTCCGTGAGATCATGACCCTGAGAAACAAAGTCTGACACTTAACAGACTGAACCCACCCGAGATCCTATAATTCTGTTTTATTCTGAAGAGTTATTCATGACATTATGTTTTTTTTTTTATTAATTTTGCCGTTTATTTATTTTTTTAGAGACAAGGGAGAGACAGAGCATGAACAGGAGGGTCAGAGAGGGAGACACAGAGATGAAACGAACCGGGCTCTGGGCTGTCGCACAGAGCCACGGCGGGGCTGGAACTCATGGACCGTGAGATCATGACCTAGCCGACGAAGTCGGATAACTAACCGACTGAGCCACGCCAACACCCCTCATGACATTATG